AGCATGGAATATTTTTCTACTTGTTTGTGTCCTCTCTTGTTTCCTTGAACAGTGGTTGGTATTTCTCCTTGAAGAGGTCCTTCACATCCCTTGTTAGCTATATTCCTAGGTGTTTTATTCTCTTTGTAGGAATAATAAATGGGAATTCATTCATGATTTAGCTATTTGCTTGTCTATATTGGTGTAAAGAATTCTAGTGATTTTTGCACATTGATTCTGTATTGTGAGACTGATGAAGTTGCTTATCAGTTTAAGGAGTTTTTGGACTGAGATGATGGGGTTTTCTAAATATAAAATCATGTCCTCTGCAAACAGAGACAATTGGACTCCCTCTCTTTCTATTTGAATACCCTTTATTTCTTTCTCTTGCCTGATTGCCCTGGCCAGAACTTCCAATACTGTGTTGAATAGGAGTGGTGAGAGAGATCATCCTTGTCTTGTACTGGTTTTCAAAGGGAGTGCTTCCAGCTTTTGCCCATTCAATATGATATTGGTTGTGGGTTTGTCATAAAGAGCTCTTATTGTTTTGAGATGTGTTCCATCAATACCTAGTTTATTGAGAGTTTTTAACATGAAGGGATGTTGAATTTTATTGAAGACCTTTTCTGCAGCTGTTGACATAATCATGTGGTTTTTGTCTTTGGTTCTGTTTATGTGATTGATTATGTTTATTGATTTGTGTATGTTGAACCAGCCTTGTATCCCAGGGATGAAGCCAACTTGATCATGGTGGATAAGTTTTTTGATATGCTGCTGGATTTGGTTTGCCAGTATTTTATTGAGGATTTTTTGCATCAATGTTCATCAAGGATATTGGTCTGAGGTTTTTTTTTGTTGTGTCTCTTCCTGGTTTTGGTATCAGGATGATGGTGGCTTCATAAAATGAGTTAGGAAGGAGTCCTTCCTTTTCAGTTGTTTGGATTAGTTTCAGAAGGAATGATATCAGCTCCTCTTCGTACTTCTGGTAGAATTGGGCTATGAGTCCATCTGGTCTTGGGCTTTTTTTGCTTGGTAAGCTATTAATTATTGCCTCAATTTCAGAACTTGCTATTGGTCTATTCAGGGATTCGACTTCTTCCTGGTTTAATCTTGGGAGAGTGTATGTGTCTGGGAATTTCTCCATTTCTTCCAGATTTTCTAGTTTATTTGCATTAAGGTGCTTATAGTATTCTCTGATGGTAGTTTGTATTTCTTTGGGATCAATGGTGATATCCCTTTATCATTTTTTGTTGTATCTATTTGATTCTTCTCTCTGTTCTTCTTTATTAATCTAGCCAACAGTCTATTTTGTTAATTTTTTCCAAAAAACAGCTCCTGGATTCAGTGATTTTTTTGGAGAGTTTTTTGTGTCTCTATCTCCTTCAATTCTGCTCTGATCTTAGTTATTTCTTGTCCCCTGTTAGCTTTTGGATTTGTTTACTCTTTTATCTCTAGCTCTTTTAATTGTGATATTAGAGTGTCAATTTGAGATTTTTCTAGCTTTCTGATGTGGGCATTTAGTGCTATACATTTTTTTTTTTCAGCCCTGTATTCATTCTCCTGTCCTTCTGAAACCACGATAATGTGAATATTAGGTCTTGTTTTATAGTCCTACAGGTCCCTGAGGCTCTATTTATTTTATTTTAAGCCTATTTTTCTCTGATGTTCAGGTTGGATAATTTCTATTTTTCTATCTCTCTCAATTCACTGATTCTTTCCTTTATTTGCACAATTATACTGTTGTGTTCAGCCATTAAGCTTTTAAAATTTCAGTTGTATTTTTTAATTCAAAAATTTCGGTTTGGTTCTTCTTAATATATATATTTTTTTCTCTCTCTGCTGAGGCTTTCTATTTTTTTTTTCACTTGTTCTCAGTGTATTTATAAATGTTTCTTTGAAGCATTTTTACTATGACTGCTTTAACAATCTTTGTCAAAAAATTCTAACATCACGATCATCTCCGTGTTTGTGTCCACTAATTATCATTTTCAGTTTTAGATCCTCCTTGTTCTTGGCACAACAATTTATTTCTGATTAAAACATAGGCACTTTCACATTATGTTATGAGACTCTGGATCTTATGTAAACCCTCTGTTCTAGTTGGCTTTTTGTTACTCTGATCCAGCACAGGGAGTGGGAAGGGAAGAGCTCATTACTGCAAGATGGAAGTGGAAGTCCAGTTTCTCCATCTGGACTTCATTGACACCAGAGACAGGAGGCTTCTAATTATTACTGGACAGATGTGGAGGTTCATCTCCATATGTAGCCTCCAATGAGACTGTGGTGGGGTCTAGGTGACAATTAGGACATGGCTTGATTTTTAGTCATTACTTTCATAAGAGATTCCTTATATATTAATACTTTAAATCTAGAAATGCACTCAGTGAGGATTGGCCTGAGCACGAAGGTACAGACAAATAGTAAGGTATTAATTAAGACTTCTCTGATTACAAGTAACAGAAACCAATTCAAGCTAGCTTAATTAAAAAAAGCATAAGGTAGGGTAGGGGAAGAATCATAAGAAAGTACAAAGCTACTCATGGAAACAAAGGGAGAGGGAATTCAGCCAGGCTTCAGGAAAGGACTAGTACTAGAAAATGAAAAACTGCCAAGGCTTTTTATTCATCTGCATTATCTGCTTTTCTCTTTTCCACAGGAAAGTTTTTACTTCCCTTAGCTCAAATTTGCATTCTACAGCAGTTTCATGTATAAGACTGATCCACTATCTCTCATTCCAATTCCGAAGTATAGAGAAAGAATCTGACCGGCAACCATGCCAGTGGGTAGAGGTCACATAATTACAAACAGCTTTTGGAAACTCTACCCTTGTGGATCAAGAGGCAGTCCACAGAGAAGGGCAAATTGTGCCTGGAGTGGATACCCCCACTCCAGGGATATCTGGCATAGTATATGTGGAAATATTAAAAAGTAGGAAGGCAGCAAGCAAGGCCTTTCTTAACAGACAATCTCATTGCAAATTTAAACATTGGCAGGTTGATTTTTGTTGTTGTTGTTTTACAACTTAGGTCTTTATGGCTACCTTTTTCTGTTTTATATATCCTTTGTCTGACTGTATCAACACTCTTACATACTATTCCCTATAGTAAGTGATTCAGGGTAAAGTGAGAATAAGCAAAGAATGAGGAGATTACACTTTGTTAAACCATCTTGGACATTGGTCTAAGTTAGGATTAAGGAGAAACTAGTTTATGTGCTGTAAGAGTTTGCAGAATTATCATGTTGAAGGATATGACATCTGAATGTAATCATAGGGCTGAAACCTAAATTGTCTGTTCTGTTCTTAAGCCAGAATGCATAGGGTCTAGGTGGATTAATAGGTGAATTGTATGTAAACAAGATAATTTACATACCTTAAATTTCTCTTTGGTCAAACATGGGTCAGATTTCAAATATGGAGGAATAAATCTCATGCTTGGCATTTCATTTGGTAATGATGAAAATTCTTGAGAAAGATTATGCAAATCAAAATATAATTGGAGAGATTTTTTTACTTCCAGGGAGATGAAGTAGGTGCATTTTCCCTATTCTTTGCACTAAAAATAACTACAAATCCAGGACATTACATATAAAATAAACATAAGACAACTCTGAAAGGTAGAAAGCAGGCAGACCACCCAGGGATTTCAAGAACCAAGGAACAACACTGTTGTCTCCTGGGTTTTCTTTTTGCCTCATATATCCAAGACTTGCAGCCGAGGAAGCCAGCAATCTGAAAACACAAATGGGCCCAGACACGTACACAAAAAGCTCTCAACAATAGCCTGTACTACACATACAAAGGACCAAGAAAGGGACAGCCTATTGATATAGAAAATGTTAGGCCATAACCACTGTACTCCAGCCAAGCACCACAGATAAACAGTGCCCTCACTCCCACCCATGTAAGCAGAGGCAGAGTGAGGGGCTTACACTTCCGCTCTTAAGAGGTATAATAAGGCATCTCAAACCTCTGCTAGGGTGGTGCCAAAGAAGGACAAGTAGAAGCCAAAACTTTGACTCCCCTCCCCCAGCTTATAAAGAGTCTCTCCCTTCCCACAGGGTGTCATTGGAAACCAAATGGGGAGCCTTGATTTCCACACTCAATAGACAAATGAAGCCTCTTCCTCTCCCCATTGGGCTGGTGTAAAAGAGTCAGGGTTTTTACAAATGTGCAGTGGCAATGAATCATAGCTTTCACACCTTTTCTTATTAAAGTATTCATAAGTTTCCAGTTGATATGTAAGTACTCTTTGTATATTAAATATATTGATCATGTTTTTCACTTATAAAGAGAAATGGCAAAGCATAATGATGAATCTCAGGAGGACTCTGGAGTCAGAATGTCTAGGTGGATTTGAATTCAGATTCTACTACGTATTGGCTATTGAGGTTTTGGATAAATTATTTAACCTCTTTGCACCTCAATTTTCTCATGTGCAAAATGTAAAGTGTATACATATATAACTTTGAACAATGTGTAGCACATAGGAAGTACATTTTAAAAGCTTGTTGATTACATTAGTATTGTATTTATTATTTTTATCTTGTTACTGTCTTTACTTTTATTTATATGTGTTTCCTTTTGGCCTTAGAGGTGATTCTGTGTTTTATCTTTAGAAGAAAACTGATCTCACTCTTTCTGCTTTCATCTGAGTATCAATAAACTGAAGTAGCTCAGATTAATTATTTTTAATTCTGGTTACCCCATAGGATTATAAGGTTTAAAACACCTGACAATTTTCAAGTCAGGCTATAATGATACGTTATGGATACTTTATTAATAGATCTAAATTAATGTGTAGTTTTATGCAAATAATCAATTAAATAAGGCCTGATATCTTACTCCTTTACTTATCAAATGTTTTCTGACAGCTCTGGGTCTTTATTCTTTGCCAAATGTGATGTAGCTGACATCATTTTCAAGAGCAGACATTTTTTTCTTAGGATAATGAATTAATAAGCCCTGCTTTCTTAAAAAGATGTGTTAAATAGCTAAGACTGATAAAATTGTATTGACTTACTGATGTTGGATTTGGAAGTTGGTTCTTGGATTGAATAGCTGATTTATCTGAGTAGTTTGCATGTTTTTAGTGCTATGCATGATGGGGAGCAAATATTGCAATATTTCTTGAGTTTGAGCTTTTCCTTTATCATTGTAGATTCTTTTTTCATCATCTGTCCAATTTATGCCAGTCTTCTTGCCTTGGAAAGATATGCATTCTTTTATTTTGCTTTTTAAGTTGTGGTGCAGATCTGGGGAGCAACCACAAAAATATGTACAGAGATATGAACTGTATTTATTCACAATCATTTATCAGGCATTATTGTATGCCAAGGCTTTTATCTAAAATTCCTTGCCCATCTGAAGCTTGTACTTTAATGGCAGTGGGCAGAAAATAAAGAAACAAGTAAAACGTATATTATGTTAGATAATGATAAAGTTTACAGGATATAGTGAAGCTGCAGAGGGGAGTAGAGAATTCTTGAGGGATTGCTTTCTATTTTTAAAAAGGTGTTAAGAGAAAGCCTCCTTATGAAGCTGACATCTCATGGAAGTTAGGAAATGAATCAAGCAGGTTTCAGGGGAAAGAGAATTTGAAGCAAAGTCCCTTACTGAGGTAGGAGAGCCGTTGTGTGTTCAAGAACACCAAGAATGCATCAGTGGCTGGAGTAGAATGAGCAAAAGGGAAAGTTATAAGAGATGAGTTCAAGTAGGTAACTTGGGTTCAGGTCATGTAGGGCCTCATAGGCCTATGGAAGGACTTTGATTTTTACTGAATGTGAGATGGAGAATCACTGGAAGGCATTGAGCAGAGGAGTGTCAGTCAGATTTGTTTGGAAAAAATTGTGCTGGTTGCCAAGTTGAGAACAGGTTGAAGAGAGGCAAGAGTGAACAAGCAGGGAGATCTCTTGGAAGGCCGCAGAAAGAATCCAGGAGAGAGGGTAGTAGCTTGGACCAGGTGGTGGAAATGGCTAGAAGGGTAAGAAGTGGGGTGGGGGTATTCTGGGCACATATATGGATTTGCTAAATAATTGGATGTGAGATGAGAGAATAAGAGAGGAATCAATGGTGCCTCCAAAGCTGCTAGTTTGAGGAAATGGCAGTATAGGGATGGGAAAGACTGGGAAGAGCATGTTAGAAATCTCTTCTTTATTAGATGATGTGAAGGAATTGTTGTTTTGTTAATGGAGACACTGGAATATAAAAACATTTTAAAAATGTTTATACCACCCCGTATTAGTTAGGATGGCTGCTATCAAGAAAACTTCTGGAAACTAACAAGTGTTTGCAAGGATTTAGAAAAACTGGAACCATGACACATTAATAAGGATGTAAAATGGTACAACCATTGTGGAAAGCAGTATGATGGTTCCTCAAAAATTAAAAATAGGATTACCATATGACCCAGCACTTCCACTTCTGGTTATAGCCCCAAAAGAATTGAGAGCAGGGTCCCAAAGAGACATATATACATTCATATTTATAGCAGCATTATTCATTATAGCCAAAAGTTGTAAGCAACCCAAGTGTTCATTGATGAATGGATTAATAAAATGAGGTATATTCATATAATGGAATGTTATTTAGCCTTAAAAAGGAAGGAAATACTGACAAATACTACAATATTGATAAACCTCGAGAGCATTATACAAAATAAACCAGACACAAAAAGACAAATGCTCTATTTGTCATCCAAATATTTGACTCCAGTTCCTAATTTGACTAGAATATTCCATTGACTAGAATATATACAAAAGTAGGAGGATGGTTTCCAGGTGCTTGGGGGAGGGGAAAGTGAGAAGGTGCTGTTTAATAGGCATAAAGTTTAAATTTTAAAAGAGGGAAAGGAATTAAAACTACTGACTCCACCCTTAGTTAAGATGGTAAATTTTCTAAGTGTATTTTACCACAATTTAGAGACAACGTCCTTGGGAAGGAGTAGGGAACCCTGAGTAAAGCCTGACAGAAGACTAGTAGTCAGATACTTTAAAAAATGTCCTAATTCATAATTATCATGCCTAAATTGGTCTATAGATAGCATAAGAGAAAGTAGAATGCTTTTAGAATAAAAGCAAGAAATACACTGTGCTTTGTTAATATGTGTTTATCCAGTTAGTGATATACACTAAACTGTTTATAGGCAAAATAATATAATTTACGGAATTTATTTTAAAGTACTCTACGGAAAAAGTGGTAAGAAAACAGATGAAACAAGAGTAGCAGGGTTCTGATGAGGATGGATGATGGGCATCAGTGGACTCATTCTTCTTTCTACTTTTGTTTATGTTTGAAAATTTCTACAATAAGTTTTTTGTAAATAAAGGAATTGTCTATTCTTAAAAGAAAAATAAACAGATAAAGCATGCCTTACATTAAGTTAGATCTGAAAGATAATATATGATTGCAATATCTGGCAACACTGGCAAATGAACTTATTTACAGTTTCTTGATAGGCCATTCTTAAAGGGCCATTCAATAAACATTCATTGAGTGTAGGCCTGGTACGGTAGCTCATGCCTTTAATCCTAGCTCTTTGGGAGTCTGAGGCAGACAGATCACTTGAGGTCAGGAGTTCGAGACTAGCCTGGCCAACAGGGTGAAACTCTGTCTCTATTAAAAATACAAAAATTAGCTGTGTGTGGTGGCAGGTGCCTGTAATCCCAGCTATTCAGGAGGCTGAGGCAGAGAAATTGTTTGAACCCAGGAGGCAGAGACTGCAGTGAGCTAAGATCGCATCACTGCACTCCAACCTGGGTGACACAGCAAGACTCCATCTCAAAAAAGTAAAAATAAATAAACATACATTCACTGAATGCTTATATCTAGCACTATTTCTGTTTGGTAAATATATGTGAAAAACACAGTCCCTGCCATCAATATGTTAAGAATCAGGACTAGAGAGCAAAAAGTGAAGTATCTATTAGAATATACTTCTATAGAGATAAACCAGAACGCTTACCATATACATATACTTAAAGCCATACTTATAGATGGGGGGAAAGGGTATTGGGTAAATGAATAAACACAAGTCAGCCAAGTAAAAAAAAGGAGAGTGATCTAGGTTGTGGGACTAACATGGCACCTTCAGGAAATCACAAATGTGGTGTAGAATAATTGGGTTATCAGGTAGGCATGAAGATATGGTTCAAAACTAGAGACTTTGTTTGAAGTAACCCTTTTGTGAGAGCTCCTCTCATTCATGACTGACAGTGGCAAAATAAATGTGTTTTGAATGAAACAATTAGGGGGCCATTGAAGATTTTTGCAAGGTAATCGATTTGCATTTTTGAAAGATCACACTGGCACCCAGGAAAACAGAAGATTGAAGAAAAGTGAAACACAGGTAGGGAGACAAATTAGGAGACTAATGCAGTTATTCAAAGGAGGCAAAATGATGGTCTGAATTAGCAGTAGCATTAGGATGAAGGGAGCAGATTCAAGAGAATCTTTAGAGGTAAATGGATATACCTTCATGTTATTAGATACAAAAAAAAAAACAGAAGTATACAACATTAGGATAAGCCTTGGGTTTATTACTTAATAACTGGATGATGGTAGTATTCTGACTGAGACATGGGATGAGGAGAGCGAGATCAGCAGTGGATAAGTTGAATAGAAGCACCTGTGGGGAAAAAACAGATGGAGATACCCAGTAGGCAGAGGAATATAAAATTCAGGAGAGGCTTAGACTGAAGATTTAAAAAATATGATGGTTGTCAGTTGCTGGTTGAAGCTACAGGTAGAGATGAGAGTGCTCAAAAATAAAGTATGTGGTGAGAAAGACCAAAGGATGGACTACTGGAAAATAGCCCACTTAAAATTTAGGCAGAGGTGATGTCCTGCATGGTCTCCCCTTCATATATTTCATCACATGTTTCATGAACGGCTAGAGGAACAGGAGTAAAACAAGGAGAGAGTAGTGTCATAGATACGACACTCAGATAGTCATTGAGCTATTGTGGAATATTCACGTTGTGAGCTATTCCACAATAGCTCAATGAATCAAGGGAGAGAGTTTAAAGGCCCTGGGAATAATCAACAGTAAAGAAGTCAGTATGGCTTTGTAAATAACCATTTCATGGTATGGCAACAGTAGAAATCTTCTCAAGCAGTAGGTTGAGAAGTATACAAGTAAGGAAGTGAAGGTAATGAATGTTGGCTATATTTTGAGGAAGGTGAGAAAGAGGGCAGTAATTAGAGTTATGTCACTGAGGAAACATGGACAGGGGATCTAGAGCACTGCTGAATGAATTAACCTTAAACAGAGGGATATTTATTTCTTTGAAACAAGAAGGAAGGATGTTTGAGATGAGTTGACTTACCGATGGCTCACTGGTTTTTGTTTTTGTTTTGTATGTGTGTGAAGTAAGAAGTGAGGTTATCCACTGCGGGTAAAGGGGATACGTTAGGTAGGAGAGAAAGAGGAAAAGATTTAGAATAGTTACTTTGGGGAATGGAAGAGGTAGTTGACCAAGTGTATGTATGTGTAAATTGGGCAAACAAGAATGTATGTGCTATTTGGTAATGCAATTTTTCTCCAGCAGGGCTCTGTAACCTAAAATAGGGGCAGAGATGATAGTTTCATCTGGAATTATAGTTGTTCAGCATGGGCTAAGTCAAAGGATACAGAGGCAAAAAGAGTTTTAAGGACATTGTTAAGAAAGTGTTTGGGAGGCTGGCTAGGAGCTAGCATGTGCCATTCTCATGGAGAGAAACTGAAGGGGTGAGTAAATACAGCACCTTCGATTGAAACATCCAGGTACACACACTGGGATTCATAAAGAAAATAACTTGACCCATGGAGATCAGAGAAAAGCAAGGCAGGACAACTGCTCACCCAGGAGTGACACGGAGCCAGGAGAGCCTCCCCTGCCCAAGGAAGGGGTGAATGAGTGAGTGAAAATGGGGACCCACGCTTCTCCCACAGATCTTTGCAGCTCCCAGGTCAGGAGGTCCCCTCATGAATCCACTCTACCAGTTCCTTCACTCTGACACACAGAGTTATTAATACATGGAGTCTTGGCAGAGCAGCCTCTCAGGCACACAGAGACCCAGATTCATAAGGCAAGTTCCTAGAGGCCTATAAAGAGACTTAGATTCCACACAATAATAGTGGGAGACTTCAACACTCCCCTGACAGTATTAGATCACCAAGGCAGAAAATTAACAAAGATATTCAGGACTTGAATTCAACATTGGACCAAATAGATCTGATAGACCTCTACATAACTCTTCACCCCAAAACAGCAGA